GTAGAATGAAGGGTTTCTATATTAGGAACTGTTATTATGATTTGGCAAAGTATCTCCCATAACAATATCTAGGACCCTTTGGGAAAGCCGGGGCTTCGGCAGTTCGGTCAGCCACAGCCCCTCCCGAAGACAGGAGCCCTGCGTTTTATGTGCAGTTGGACGTGGGTTTAGGATTGAGTTTAGGGTCTAGGGTTTAGGATTGAGGGTTTAGGGTTGAGTTTAGGGTTTAGGGTTTAGGATTGAAGGTTTAGGGTTGAGGGTTGAGGGGCCTCCTTGCATTTTATGTGCAGTTGGAGGTAAGCCTTTCCGAATCTGAGAGAAGTAGTTGAAGCACAAGCTTAGCAACAGACATTGTGGATGATGTCAAGCAGTTTTAGAGTCTAGAGCTATCGCATCCTAAACCGTTCAGGCTTGCAACAATCAAGTCATATTGCTAAATGGGTTTATGAAAATGATGCCCATACGCATGGCAAGCAAAAAAGCAGTCAACATCGCTGCAATGCACACGAAGGTCAATAATGTAGAACCTTAACAATTAGAATAGGGTTTTGGAGTCATTTATGGTATAATTGTAATAAGGAACACCAAAAATAATATAGGCAAGTATTTAGGCCCCCACAGTACCGAAATTGAGAAAGAGGTGCTCTTCCCACAAGCGCTCATGGCCGAGTTGACGCAGAATTCTTCATCTCCCTCAGACGTCCTTCGCGGCTGGAGGATTCGCTCAACAGCAGCAGGATTTAGCTGAGGTTTAGAGCTTAGGGTTTAGGGTTTGTTCGGCAGAGACGCTGACCTTAAGCCACTTACAGGTCTGATGCTACTGATGTGTGCCGGTTCCCGGTCCGCTAAGCAGTGAAGGGGGCTAGTTTTTCTGCGGGTTCAGCTCCGGTAAACCTACAGCACGCCCGACTTAAGCCTCAACTTTGACCCTGAACCCGGGCCGAGAACATGCCGAGGGGCGAGCTTCGAAGACCGGCCAGCAGACCTGGGTACATATACGTGCACAGGAACTTCTTTCGACCCATATTGGATGCAGGTACTTTATAATGTACGTGCATACAAAGAAACATATATATATATAATTATATATATACACATGTGTATGTATGTGTATATATATATATATGTATGCATACAGAATGCATACATGTATATATATATATACCAATATCTGTATCCATATCTGTAACTGTCTGCACGTATGTATGTATATACACACACACACACATATGTGTGTGTGTGTGTGTGTGTGTTTGAGTGTTTTGTCTGTGTGTCTGTGTGCGTTCGTATTATTAAGTGGATGTACATGTATACGTGCTGGGATACCCCTGAACCTACAAGCTAACCACGCTGATGCAGCAACATGTCCTGAATAGGGTTCCGGGGTATATTCGAGCACAATAGTCTACATACTGCAAAATACAGGACTATATGGGTAGTTGTCAAAATTATGGTCCCTTTTGGGGTACCCTAAATTATAGGTGCCGTATTATAATAAGGACCCAAAAAGGGACCATAATTTTGACAACCACCCATATAGATTGAGTAAGTCTTCAGGCCCTTATATGCAACCAGCCTAGGACGGCTGAGGACCCAAGGCCTCATCTAGGACCCTTGATAATTAGAATAGGGTTTTGGACTCCTTTAGGGTTTAGGGTTTAGGGTTTAGGGTTTAGGGTTTATAGTATAGTCATAACAACGGGCCCTAAGGAATAATATTGGTACTTATTTAGGACCCTCAACCCTAAACACTTAACCCTAAACCCTAGTCCGTGCTCACACTCGGACAATCCAGGCGAGGCGTAGGGTTCGAGGTCTTCAAAGAAGTGAGACAATCTCACACTTGGGACCAAGACACAGTTCCAAACCCTGAACCCTGATTAGTCCGTGCCATGTCGAGCTGCTGAGGGCAGCCTCCCACTGCCCCGCACGATCGCAAGCGGCAATGGCAGCACCGAAGCTCACCACATTCCTAAGCTTTCACGAGGGTTTAGGGTTTAGGCTTTACCTATAGTCTCCATTGTAGTCCCTTTTTGGGGATACCTTATAAAATCCTTAATATATAAGTGGTTAAACCAAACAAAGGAACTACAATGGAGAATATGGGTAAGTTTAGGATTCCTAAGCGTTTTCGGGTTTAGGCTTGCGGTCTAGGATTCCTAGGCTTTCAAGAGTTTTGGTCTAGGGTTAGGATTTAGGTTTCTGTAGCGGTTAATTTAAGGCTTCTGCACTCCCGATATGCATGCACATGCCCTTTTGTAAAGATATCTGTGCATATATGCAGTTGCAACGTGGACACGTGCTTACATATCTGGCCTTTGCGGTTTCTCGCAAATTCTCCGAAAGCTGCTCAACACGCGCGGGCCAAGAAAACGTCCTCAGACGTGTGCATGTGAAACTGTTGAGACGTCTGACTGCACCGACTGAAATATGTGGCCATGCAACAAAACCCTAAACCTAAACCCAATATAAATTTCTGAAAGCCCCACTCCTCACCCCGAACCCAAAATATAGCCTCAATCATTAGAATAAGGCTTCAGGGGTACATTATACCAGAATATACTAGGGGATGGAACAGGCTGTACCGGGATACTGTTGCTGATTCATCCGACACCTATCGTACATACCGGCGTCCTGCTAGAGTTACATGTGTGGTTACAATGAACTTCAATGTGAATACCAGGACCCTAAACCCTAAACCCAAACCCTAAAAACCCTAGACCCTAAACCCTGAACTGTAATTGCCGAAGTTCTTCGTCTTCGTTTGAGAACCCAAGCTTCGACGCAGCTTTCTTGACTGTAACAGGCAATTGTTGTAATTTCTCGCAGATAAGAATCTAGTATAGAAACTTTTGTCCTATATCAAATGTTGAACAATGTTCATTGTATGCTATATGGTGTGTATTATGGATCACAAACATGTATTGTGTTTTAGACATCATAAATTAAAGGCTACATGTTACATAATAAAGACCTTTACATAACGATATCTACGTGTTGAATAGTGTTCCTGATATGTTCTTTTCTGTTCTGTCTATTGAACTGTTCGTTTAATGTTATATAGTATATCCTAAAGCTTAATGTGTATGTATGTATGTATGTATGTATGTATGTGTATATATATATATATGTACTATGTATATTATTGGTTTTATACTAAACACTATATATTTGCTGCACATATTTTCGAATATTGTACGTTATATACTCTATCTTTTATAGCCTATCTTATGTATTATGATGTTGTGTATATCCTAGTTATGTTCTATCTTAAACGTTGTCTCCATGCGTATGTGTACATGTATATATATATATACACACGCATACACGTCTGAAGAGTAGTAGCATCACATAATAACATAATAATATCTACACAAGGCCACGATAATAGACCTACCAAAACAGACGCTAACAGCGGACACGCGAACATCTCCTGTCAAGTCCCTGTGAAATGACACAATAATGATATCTCCCCCCTGCCCTTCATCAAAAGTACACCGAACCACAAACCCGTCTGAGACCTGAAACCTCCATAACATACTAGAGTATAGTCCCCAAAACAGAAATCCCTAGATTAAACACCTCACATTGGGTTCGAGGCTGAACGAGGCTCGGCTGCAGCTGGCGCCTGGCAAATGCAGGAAGCTGTAGGCACCGTCTGAGGGCCGGGTAGCTTCTGGGGGTACAGCCTAGGCTTTGTAGGAATTATGCGGTTGCACACTCTCCATCGAAATACGGTAAGGTGTAGCAGCTGTGGACATGGATTCAGGGTGCGGGCAAGGGCCTGCTTCTTTGACTCGCAGGAAACTCATGCGCGTCCGGATGGTTGTAATTGTCTCGTGGCTTCTGTCTTCTGCAATGAGAGTGTCCTCATGTTGCTGCGATGCTGCTTTCACTTGCATATAGTAGCAGCCAAATGATCGTTCGCGAGGCAGCACTGCTAGCAGCAGCAGCTGCAACAGTGTCCAAATCAAGTGGCTCTGTTCACTGATTGTTTCCCCAATAATAGCTCGAATTTCTTGTCAAGGAGGAATGGCCCACAGAACAAACCTCTGCCTGAGCTCGTAGGATCTCCGCTGCCTCTCTTGACTCCTGCACGTTCCCATCATCGGGCCATCGGGCTGCAGGGAATCTCCCCAGGCAGATACGTCTTGAACACTTCTGTGGATTGGGAAACATTACGTCGATGGTCCAAGATAGACGGCAATGACGATGGCAGAGGTGCCGCGTGTGAAGGCATCTCTTTTGTCGAAAAATGTGCCCAGGGCTCCGGCAGGGCAGTGTAGCTTTCAGGGGTAACAGTGGCTACAGCGTGGGATGCCCCAGCAATATTTGTGCCGATGACGAAGTCAAAAGCCTTCATTGCCGAATGACACGCCCCGAGCATCCACTGTGTGCGGGCGATCATACACTGATTCGTTTCATCTCCACAGCCGCAACGGAAAGTCTGGTTGTTAAGAGCCATAATGCAGTTGACACATACAGCTTGCGAGCATTTCCTTGGTCCGTGTTTGGAGGGAAAGGACAGAGGATCCTTGTGACGGGCTCCCGTTCAAACGATTAGGATGATTAGGAAACTGGAACCGAAAAAAGACAGCATCATTCCTAACAGGTCCTAACATTGACCAAGCTTCGGGCAATGGTGATCGAAGAAGGAGCCGAGTGCCTGCTGGCAGCGGCTGCAGGACTCCTAGGTGCTGCAGTAATCCGTGAGTGAAAATGCACCCCGCTCTCCTATACTTTGAAAACGGCAAAGTCATACTGCAGGAGGACGTAGTTTCTGGCACAGAGTCGGGGAAACAGCTATTGAAAAGTCCACACCATTGGGGCGAGCAGTGTTCACCGCAGTTCTTGCGGGTTTGACTTCGGTCCTCGGAGCAGTGCCGCCAATTTGGATGAGCCGGGATGTAGTCACTGCTGTCCTCAACAAATGCTGCGCTCAAGGGACAGTCGGAACTCTCACGCGGAAAGTCGTTCGGCTTGACGGGCGTGCTAGTCGGGAACTTGCGGCTAAGCCCTTCTGCCAGAGCTAAAACGCCATCGTACTCGGGCAACCGGGCCTCGAAAGTCTGGTAATTGCATACGGTTGACGCAGGAGAGGATGGTGCCTCTCTGCCGAAGATATATGTTGATGCTGGCGAGTCAGGAGCGTCTGTGGTGTACAAATAACGTGTTGATGCAGGCGAGACAGGTGTCTGTCGGCCATAGCAATATTCCGTCGCTGCAGGCGAGACAGGTGCCTGTCTGCCGTAGCTTATTGTTGATGCCGGTGAGAAAGGCGGCTCTCTCGCGCAGAATTCGGACAGTGTGAAGGACACTGGAATGCCAGGCATCGATCCATAGTCGCGGAGGCTTGCCAAACTGCGAAAAGTGGGCTCCTCCAGGGTGGAGGGGCATGGGTCCGGCATCTGGTCTCGTGCTTCCTTGGGAGCATCACCCGCATCAGGTTCCTTTCGCCAGCTCGAATCTGGAGGTGTGGGGACCCAACCGAATTCCAAAGCTGCAGAGCTGGCATCAAAGACCTCGCTGGTCTTTACACTGCAGAGCTCTTTCAGTTGAGACCAAGCTGTGTAAACTGAGCTCGCTCTGCCAAGATATGAAGCTCCGGGATCTTTGGCAGCAAAGGCCGATTCCCGATGCCAGTCCGATGATGTTGCGCCACCGGCCGGGCGCCAAGGGCCAAGTGGAGTAGGCATCTGTTGAGTAACAAGCAAATGAGCGGCGTTATAGGCTACCTCTGAGCCCCAGCTTAAGCTGCGGTCAATTTAAGCGTTGCAGCATACCGTCTAAGCCCTAAACAAGTCACTCCTCCAGCGTCACCCAAGCTTGGGGCCACGGGTAAGATCGGTGCGTGGGCATCACGAGACTGTTCCTTATACAGTTCCTGAATACAACTGTAGAAACTCTATGCGAACCAGTAGGTCTGGCACGTTCGGCAAAAGCATCTGCACCGCACCTGGCCTCTTTTCCGGGCGAGGAAGACTCTCTAAGCACAGAAAAACATCCGATATGCCACCTATAGACCCAGTTCAGTGCCAGTAAACCGTAAACCCTTAAACCCGTAACCCTAAACCGGAGATCCAGATGCCAGTCACAGGATAAAGTCAGCGAAGGCGAACAACAGCTCCAATGCAGATGCGAGGAACGGGCAGGCCGTCCTTTGGCCGTTTAACATGATCAACTCGCCTTGTATTCTGATGATGTGTGTCCAATGATTTTCAGGATGCAAGGGCTGCAAGGGCGCCCGGCTCCGCCACCAGAGATTGAAGCGCTGTTTCATGGCCGGCGCCAGAGGCAGCGGCCAACCGACAGCAGGGAGCTTCTTGATGTCACCTACGATCGCCGACTGAACCAGCGTCGAGTCTTCGCCGAAGTCGGCCAAGCCTGCAAGCCCGTTGACCGAAAGCAAAATGCTCTACGGTAGCTTGCCAACGTTTCTCTACAGGGACCTTTAGTAGGGGGGAGGTACGGGGGAGGAGGGTAGGGGACGAAACTTCCTTAAATAGGCCCTATTAGGCCCTTATTACGGGTATGAAGGCTCGCTACCCCCCTCCCTCCTAAATCTAAACCCTAAACCCTGAACCCTAAACCCTAAACCCTAAAACCTAAACCGAGGGTCGTTATGATTCCCAGGGAAGCTCCGGAAGCAGGACCATGACCCTCTTCATCGATCTTCTCCCTTGCATCTTCGAGTCTTCCAAATCTCCCAGAGCAGTCGCACAAGCGTGGCGGAGTCCTAGGTTCCGAGCCACTTTTCAGGGTTTAGACTCTCGCAACTCGGGCAATGCCGGAAGTTTTAGGGCTTAGGGTCTAGGGTTGTGGGTTAAGTCACCAGAACCAGATGTAACAAGCAAAGCGTAACAGTTGCTGTAGAGCCTTGCTTGTTCTTTTTACTACTGTTGATGATATAAATCCTGCATTACCTTAAGGGGGAATAATGGTATTTTCCTGATTATGGGTATTGCAGGATTTATATCATCAACCATCAACCGTAGTACTCTTCTTATGGAAGCTTAAACTCAGCTCCTGAACAAGAGCCCAGAGTCGTGTTCTTCGATGGCAGGCATAGCTTGCAGAATCACCGGAGCAGCATGCTTTAAGTGCCCAGCGGCCACCAGGCAGTTGGCCAAGTCCTGTGGGATCATGACGCTTGCCTGTGGGCCGGATCCAGATTCCGCAGGCTTCTGCTGTGACGAGTAATATAGGGGCCTTGATAATCAGAATAGGGTTTTGGTAGTATAAGTAAGTAATTATTTAGGGCCCTACATTAGGGGGCTTGTTTCGAAACAATCGGCCACCTGAGACTTGCTCGAGCGTGACTCCCAAGTTCGAGGGGCACTTTGAAGCCACGAACGCTTCATAACTAGCATAGGGCTTGGCGGTACATATGACACTATAACTATAATAAGGACCCCCCCCAAAAAAAAAATCGTATAGGTAATTATTTGGGCCCCGACATTACTTTAAGAGGTTTCGATGCAATTCAAAACAGCCTTCTAGGCCATAGGAGCTCCCGGCTTTCTTAGGGCAAAAGCATCAGGAAAGACCCAAACAGTTGCAGTAAGGACCCTATCTTACTTCCCCAATAAGCCAGGGACATAAAAGGTTTAACTTTCAGACCACGACTAATTTATAAGAACCCCAAAAGTTTAAAGCTTGGGTATTGGGGAACTAAGCTCAAGGGTTCACGATGGCCTCCATATGATTTATACTGATTTATGTGGTTTGGAATAGGGTTTGGGGTTCAAGCCTCTGGTCTAGAGAAAGAGCTTCTTCCCGAAGCGCTGGCCCAAGCCCTAAACCCTAGAGTAAGCCCTAGAATAAACCATATACAACAGGTATTTTTTTGGGGGGGGTCCTTATTATAATTATGGTATAATGGGCCCCAAGGCCCCTATATCTGTACAACCTTACACCAACCCTAAATGCACCCTTTATCACTATGTAACGCCTACTCAAATCCAAAAGCCCCACCAGACCTTGCCCGGGATCCGCTCGGCGAGGGCAGGCACTGCTTGGAGAACCTCTCGCTAAAACCCCCAAACCCTAAAACCCCGAAAACCCCTAAACTCCTAAAGCTCCTACTTGGAAGGTCATGGGTAGTTACAAGTCGAGCCATAAGTCCCCCAGAATGGGTTATACGCATAGTTACCCTACTTATAATCCCACTTATGACTTCCCATGAACCTCCAAGTAAAAACTCCTCTAGCCACAAACCGAAACCCTAAACCCTAAAGCTCCAACCCTAAACCCTAAGCCCTAAATCCCCAAACCCCAAGCCCTACACCCCTGCACCCCTAAACCTAAAGCCCCAATCCTAAACCCTAAACTCTAAAGCCCCTAAAGCCCTAAAACCCCGAAGCCCTAAACCCTAAAGCCCTAAAACCCCGAAGCCCTAAACCCTAAAGCCCTAAAGCCCCGAAACCCTAAACACCAAAGCCCTAAACCCCTAGACCCTAAAGCCCCAACCCTAGCTAAACCCTAAACTCTAAAGCCCCAAAGCCGTAAACCCTAAAAACCCTAAACCCTAAACCCCAAACCCTAAAGCCCCAAAGCCGTGAACCTCTAGACCCTAAAGCCCCGACCCTAACTAAACCCTAAACCCCAAAACCCAATCCTAAAGCCCCAAAGCCGTAAACCCCTAGACCCTCAAGCCCCAACCCTAACTAAACCCTAAACTCTAAAGCCCCAAAGCCGTAAACCCTAAAAATCCTAAACCCTAAACTCTAAAGCCCCAAAGCCGTAAACCCTAAAAACCCTAAACCCTAAACCCCAAAACCCCTAAACCCTAAAGCCCCAATCCCCAAAGCCGTAAACCCTAAACACCTAAACCCTAAAGCCCCAAAGCCGTAAACCCTAAAGCCCAAAAGCCCTAAACCCTAAAGCCCCAAAAGCCGTAAACCCTAAAGCCCCAAAGCCCTAAACCCCAAAGCCGTAAACCCTAAAGCCCCAAAACCCTAAACCCCTAAACCCCTAAAGCCCTTAAAGCCCCAACCCTAAAAACCCTAAACCCTAAACCCTAAACCCCAAACCCCAAAAGCCCCTAAAGCCCCTAAACCCCAAACCCCAAACCCCAAAAGCCCCACTAAGCCCTAAAACCCCCAAAGCCCCAAAGCCCTAAGCCGTAAACCTCTGGTGCGCCAGACTTGAGGATGGACGCGGCCCAGAGGCAGTTCGAGAGCTCCTGCGCAGGAAAAAGAAGTACTTGGTTTAGGGGTTTAGGGTTTAGGGTTTAGGGTTTAGGGTTTAGGGGTTTATATGGGGGTTTAGGGGTTTAGGGGTTTATATGGGGGTTTAGGGGTTTAGGGGTTTATATGGGGGTTTAGGGGTTTAGGGGTTTATATAGGGCTTTAGGGGTTTAGGGGTTTATATAGGGCTGTAGGGGTGAAGGGTTTCGGGTTTTTGGGGTTTAGAGGTTTAGGGTTTTAGGGGTTTAGGGTTTAGGGGTCCCTAATATAGAGAACTATAGGGGTCTATAAGCGTTCCCTTAGAGGGTTTGGAGCGGATTAGATCTTGGTTTCGATTTTCTGGGGTTAGGATTCTGTTAGGCTTTTGCTGAGTGGCGCTCCCGTAATGTAGCCGCCTAAAACAAGGTGACGGCGCCGGTAC